TTCATACTAGCAGAAATAAAACAAACAAGAGGAAAGAAAGAACTCATGGTTTCGCCCTTGGAGTTGAGATCTCCTCTTCTCCTTGCCGCCACCTCTTTCTTGCAGACTTCTTGCTTGATAGTTGGATTGCTCCTTTGCTTCTTAATGCCTCTCTAGTCCACCATCATCCCTTTATTTAGCTTAAAGGGGAGGGGGTGGTCTCCAACTCTTTCTTGGAGTTTATCTTTCAAAATAGAAAGTCCTAGTCTAATCCTACTCTTATCTCTTTATCTAGTGAACTCATTCTCTTTATCTTTATGGGATTACATCATAAATTTAGATATGATAGCTATAAATATAACCCTAGCAAGTGCACTAGTTATCAAGTAGTATAAAAATATCATTCCCACGAGGATTTAACAAAATAAGTATTAGAACTACAGCCTTCCCTAATTATTTGGACAATCGAATTTCAGATTTGAGAATAAGAAATGAGAAAAAACAGAAATAGGAAAACAAGAGCAGAAGTAATAATGCTGAAGAAAGTAATGATTGGTTAAATTCGCTAGGGCTTTCGGTCCTCCTAACCATTCCAATGAATATTAATGAATGAGATTATCCAAGATAATTTGTCATTCCCATAAGCTGAAGTCTTTCCAATTTTATTTAATATTCTCTATCGAGATATACTAAAACTACTTCCATCAAGTAACCCCTTGGTCTCTCGACTAGAGTTCTCAAGATAGAAGCGCATTAAGTCCAAGGAAAAACTATTATATTCAGATGAATCATGTGTATATACCCGTATATACCATTCAATTCACACCCTGAATTATATGGTCAGCTATGTGAATTCCTCTTTTGATTCATTCACATACGCCTGATCAATTAAGAGATGGTCACTCCTAAAGGCATTAAGCAAGATAATTAATAGACTATATGGAAATCATGATATTGAATAAATCAGAATAAAAATATATTCATTGATATGATTAGGCTTTGCATAACCCGAAGTACAGATGAATTAGTTCATACTAGCAGAAATAAAACAAACAAGAGGAAAGAAAGAACTCGTGGTTTTGCCCTTGGAGTTGAGATCTCATATTCTCCTTTCCGCCACCTCCTTTTGGCAGACTTCTTGCTTGATAGCTGGATTGCACCTTTGCTTCTTGATGCCTCTCTAGGCTGCCCCCCATCCCTTTATATAGCTTAAAGAGGAGGGGGTGGTCTCCAACTCCTTCTTGGAGTTTATCTTTCAAAAATAGAAAGTCCTAGTCTAATCCTACTCTTATCTCTTTATCTAGTGAACTCAATCTCTTTATCTTTCTAGGATTACATCACAAATTTAAATCTGGTAGGACTCTTCCTAGTTTCTTGTTCTTGGATTCGTATTAGACCTCCTTTGCGAATTGGGCTGCTGTCAGGCTTTTCTGCAAGTTGGGCTTCAGTTGCGGATTGGGCCTTCCTACAAATTTTCCCTGAATTCAGGCCCGGATTTGACTTCGATTCAGGCCAAATCTGCGAAATCCCAAAACATAAAAGTTGTGGTTTTGTCTCCTATCTATCGAGTGGGTCTTGAATCAGCCCAATCGGAGTTCGGATACGCGAGATAGGCCCAGATTACTGAACGGTGCCGAAACTGTGAAAAATAATCCGATTTGCCTTTCTTTGCTCCTGATGCCTTCTTTCATGCCCTGAACTGAAATACAAGAAATATGAGTCCAATTAAGTACTAATTAAGTATGCAAGACAGAATATTTGGAGATAAAAATGTAATAAATTCTACTCTCATCAAACCCCCCACACTTAAACCTTGCGCGTCCTCGCGTAAGACAAAAATCAAAACAAAATTAAAACAGGAACAAGATGACTAATTTTTTTTTTTTTTGTGGATCTTTCTCAATAGGGTATTTGTGTTTTCCCATGCCTTGATCCAATATTAATGATCCTTCCATTTGTCCATTTCTTCTTCCATCTTAACTTCATGTTATATTTGTGCAAAATTTCAAAAACACAATGCAGATCTTTTATTAAATCATTTGAAAACTGAGTTTTGACGACCATGTCGTCTACATAGCATTCTATTTTCTTGTTGATTAGCGGCTCAAAAAGTTGGTTTACAAGTGTTTGACTTCATGCCCTTTGGACTAAAAAATGTCGGGGCAACATTTCAAACACTTGTAAATCGACTTTTTGAGCCGCTAATCAGCAAGAAAATAGAATGCTATGTAGACGACATGGTCGTCAAAACTCAGTTTTCAAATTATTTAATAAAAGATCTGCATTGTGTTTTTGAAATTTTGCGCAAATATAACATGAAGTTAAACCCTAACAAGTTTGTATTCGTTGTCACATCGGGTAAATTCCTAGGTTACATTGTTAACCGGCGTGGCATCGAAGCCAACCCCAAAAAGATAAAGGCCATCCTAGATATGAGACCGCCCCGCAAAATGAAGGAGGTTCAGAGGCCGAATGGTCGTATAGCCGCTCTGAGCCACTTCATGTCTAAGTTGGCAGATCGTTGCCTACCTTTCTTCAAGGCAATTAAAAAGAGCAAGGATTTCGAGTGGACCGAAGAGTGCCAGCTCGCCTTCGACGACCTCAAAAATTATCTAACCAGTGTCCCGGTTCTGACCCGACCAGAGGAAGGAGATATTTTGAAATTGTAC